AGAGACAAAAATGAGGGATGCTATTTTAGAAAATGTGGTCAGGGAAGCCCTCTTTGATAGGACATGAGGGATTTGACCAAGGATAGTGTTCTAGGTGATACAGGAAAACAGATCTGCAGCATGAGGAGGGCCGAGTCCCAGGTCTCGGTTGAGCCCTTGGGATGTGCCCTGCCAAGTGTGGGTCCTTGGCTTCGCGCAGGAAAGATTTCAAGTGCGAGCTACCATTGAGTTAAGATAGATGTATTTAGAGAGATACACTGCATAGAGTGTAAGACAAGAGAAAGGCAAGGAAGGAGGTGTGGGAATTGGTGCTCAGGTTGAAGTAAAAGTAGGTAAACTCTCCATAGACAGAGTGCGGGCGTCTCCAAAGGGGGGAGAGCGCAAAGGCATGGTGTTGTCAGTTTTTATGGTCTCAGTAGCTTCACATGCCTACAGTGGGATCAATCCAACTGCCCTGGGGAAGGGGCTGGGGTTCCCAGGGACTGGGCCACCACCCATTCTTTGGCCTTTTGAGGTTAGCCTTGGGGCTGTCATGGCGCCTGCAGGCATGTTATTTGATCAGCTGTTACAATGAGCATATAATGAAGCTCAAGATCTACTAGAAGTTAAACCTCTTAATCCTTAAGGCCCACTAGGAGGTGAATCTTCCACCATTTTGGTGTTAAATTGCTGTCATTCCTTGAGTGGCTATGGCCTGGCCCCTTCCCTCCTGTCTCATAGGCAGTGGGGACTGTAAATTCAAAGATCCCAATGTTACGGAAACGACAGGCCAGCCAGGAAACAAGCACCACTCGGAGGTTTGGAGTACTCAGATTTATTATGCCGGCGGACTCAAAGGGGCTTCTGCTCCGGAGCTCTGAGCACCTCCAAGACATGTGCATGAGGTTTTATAGGGTTAATTATAAGCTTGGGATATTTGGCCAATAGGCATGGAACAGCTTTAGCAGCATCATTATCACAAAAGCAGAGGCAGGAAGGCAGCAAACCGGCACTCCAAGGCCAGATATGTCTCTGAAAATCCAGCTGGCTAGCAAAAGAAGAACATGAGCAGGGACTCAGCAAACCGACACTTTTTAACTTAGATTTATGAGTTAGCCCAGCAGAATTTAGATCAGTAATCCGACAGTTGTTACACTTAGATTTACGAGTTAGGCCCAGCCTGCCTTTTCCTTCTCACCAAGGCTGGAACATGGGTAGTATGTTGGAGGCACAGCAAGAGGGCTGATAGGCTGCAGCACAGTGAGAGAGAGGGGAGGGAGAGGGCAGTGGGTCACAGAGAGGTCATCGTGCCAGATAGAGAAGTTCCTGGCAGTCCATGTAAGGACTTAGTTTTCACCTAGAGTGACCTAGGAAGCGCTGCAGGCTGTGAGCACAGGAGCAGCGTGATAGCATTTATATTTAACCCTGACCGGTTGAACCGGTTGAAAGATAAACACAACCCCTGGTTCACTGAGACCTAGAGCAACCTGTACCTTAATTTTTTTCCTTTCCATTCAAAACCACTTTATGGCCTTCTTCCATTCTTTTTTTCTCTCCTTCTTGCAGAGAAAACTTCCTCTATTCCTTCACAAGAGTAACCCCTCCAGCAACTTCATGGACACTTTTCCTCCTGTGAATACATTGCTTTCCCAGGCCCACGCAAAGCTTGTGGTGTACGTAAATCATTAAATATAAAAGGGAGAGCCTCTGGGGATTGTGGAAACTTCTAGTGTAAATTTAGCCCAGAACTTCTGCTCCGCCCTCCAAAATGTCTCCACCAATCTAGGAAAGGCCCTCTGGGTGTACCTTACTTCTTCCAAAGCAGATGTGAGAGTTCAAGTTTCCGGGCTGCTCTTCTAGGAAGCAGATCTGCCATCATCTCCAGCTGTGTAGAAATCTGTCACTTTAGTGAGTACCACCTTATCTGTCTCCTATGTAAGGTTTTCTGGGCTGCAGTGTATAACTTTTGAGCAAAGATAACAAGCAAACAAAACCAACAAATAAAAAATGCTCTCACTGAAGTCCTGGGCAACAATGTTATTCTACTAGAATTTCTCAGTTGTTGTATAATACTGCCTGGTAAGTGGCCAGAAGTATGTACACAAAAGGCTGTAAACATAGCAGCTGAGCTTTCTCGTTAAAAGCTTTTCAGTGGTATTTAATTTTGTAAAAACTATGTGCGTGTGTCAACTTGTTAAAATGTTTTGTAAAAAATTGAGTCTTAAGTAGTAGCTGTGTTTTCCCACTGTACTGTCTACTTGGCTCCCGATCCTGCTCAGTGGCAGGAATCCATCTTCTGCATTCAAAAAGTAAACCAACTACCCCTAGGAAACTTAAGGAAATATTTAGAGGCAAACCTAAGGAAATAACCTGAGGGCAGCCACTATTCTCCATTAGGTGGTCAAGCATGGCTCGAAAAATCCTGTATAGACGTTTAAGACAGTCTTATTAGGTTAGGGAGACCAGTAAGGGTTTCGTCTTAACTTTGAGGCAGTGTGGGTTCTGGCCGGCAGAAGTCCCACCGAGACGAAATGAATTACTCGAGACTCTGTGGAAAAAGTCAAGAGAGCGAGAGGAAGTCAGGAGCCAACTCCACGAGCCTCTCAAATGCTCCCACATTTATTGTGTACAATCAAAGGAAAAATCACTTAACAGTTGTGTGATGGAATGCAGGAATTTAGGGAAAGACAGGGTGGGATCAAGATCATAGAAATCACAATGTGTACAAAGGCTTTGTTTATCTTTAGGGAAGTCTGGACAGAGGAGGAAAAAGATACATTCTTATAGATAACTTAAAGCAGACCACCAGACCAGCCAGTTCCTTGTTTTGGGGATAAAAGCCTATCTAACAGCAGGCACGCCCAGTGTTTATAGCCGAGGGCCTGGGTCGTTGCAACGAGCAGAGTGCTATCTAAAACCTCAACTATGCAAGCGAGGCATTGTCTCTGCTTTTTACGGCAAGGAGACCAGAGTGAGACCAGAGTGAGTGCGGATGCACAGGCGCCTGTTTGCAAGGCAGTTACTAAGCACATTTGTTCTTCTTTAAGGAGACAAGCGGCTGGGGTCTGTTACAATTTGTTAACCCAATCATGGGCTCCCACAAGGCACTGTATCCCAAGCCATTTTTATTATGTCCCAAGTCACTGTTACTACATAGATTACTTGATGGGGAAGGTATTTATGGAGATGTAGGGAGGCTAAAATCCCCTTGGCACTGCTGTTTACATGGGTATATGGATGTAGAGGTTTCTTTTCAGATGAGACTTTTTTTTAAACTAAAGTATGGTCGATTACAATGTGTCAATTTCTGGTGTACAGCACAATGTCCTAGTCATGCATATACATACATATATTCATTTTCACATTCTTTTTCATCAAAGGTTATTACAGGATATTGAATATAGTTCCCTGTGCTATACAGAAGAAACTTGGGGGGGGTGTAATCTATTTTTATATATAGTGGCTAACATGTGCAAATCTCGAACACCCAGATTTATCCCTTCTCACTTCCTTTCCCAGGTAACCATTAGATTGTTTACTATGTCTGCAAGTCTGTTTCTGTTTTGTAGACGAGTTCATAGTGTCTTTTTTTTTTTCCATTTTCCTTTTTAGATTTCCACATGAGTGATATCATGTGGTATTTTTCTTTCTCTTTCTGGCTTACCTCACTTAGAATGACGATCTCTAGGTCCGTCCATGTTGCAGCAAATGGCATTATTTTATTCTTTTTTCTGCTAAGCAGTATTGCGAGATGAGACTTTAAATACTTTCAAAAGCCCTTTTGACCAGCAGTGGAACTATCTTTATTAGCAGTTTTCTGGTGCTCAGTATGTGAAGGAAAAACCGGGCTAGTCTAACAAGATAACTCACAAATCTAAGTATTGGAATACTGATCTGAGTTCCGCTAGACTAACTTGTAAATCTAAGTTAATTAGTGTTGGTTTGCTTTTCATGTTTTTTACTAGCCAGCTGGGTTTTCAAAGATACATATCTGGCTTTGGAATGTTGGTCTGCTGCCTCCCCGCCTCCACTTTTGTGATGATAATGCTGCTAAAGCTGTTCCATGCCTATTGGCCGAATACCCCAAGCTTGTACTTTACCCTGTGAAACCTCATGCGCACGTCTTGGAGGGGCTCAGAGCTTCGGAGCAGAAGCCCCTCTGAGCCCGCCGGCGTAATACATCTGAGTACTCCAACCCTCCAAGTGGTGCTTGTTTCTTGACTGGCCTGTCGTTTCCATAACAAGTATAATAGTCTGGACTCTCAGCTCTTTCACCTACAAAGAAATTTAGAGACCTAGAAAATAAATATTATGAAATGCTAAAAATCACTAAAAAGGCAGGAAAAGTACCTTGTTGGGGGAAAGGCAATCTTAATGGTTTTGATGAGGAGGATGTTGCTATTTTCAGAATAGTCAAGCTCATTTGAAGCTCCAAATGACTGGTCAATTTTTTTTTTCAAAGTATGTTTGAAGGATTCTGAACGCAGTGGAGAAAATAGTTTGAAATTTTCATCCCAATTGCAAAATGATGGAAACAGGTCAAATGATGATTGATGGGGGACTGACTGATGATATTATGGTGCAGTTGTTCACTGGAATGTCATACAGCTGTTTAAAAAACAAAACCAAAAAGCACACTGAGGAAGATCTCTGTGACCTAATAGGGAAAGCCATCCAAAATTTTATTTAAAAAAAATTTTAATGGACAAGATATTGTATATTCTAGGCTACATGGTGTATAAAAGTAGAAAAGGAGGAAAAAAAGAATCTATAGTCATTTGCTTGTATACATATGAAGAAACCCTGAACAGATACATAGAAATAATAATAGTGGTTCCCCAAGGGAATGAGGGTGGGATGAAACTGGGCAGCTATGAGACTGGGGCTGGGAGGCGGATTTTTTACTGTGTACCTTTTATGATTTTTGAACCATTTGAAGATATTATCCCCCAAAATTAAAAACAAGGTTACAACTCTAAAAACTTAGTGTTGACTACTTAACTTCTTTCTTCCCGTTGAAGAAAACTTGTTGTTATTTCTGTAAGGAGAGAGATGCCAAATGTGCAGGCTGTAACTTTCCAGCAAATAGCAGAGAAGGGTGAGTCCTTATATTAAATCCCCGCTGCCAAACAGAATGATGTTTGAGGACTCAGGGGCTTACTTCTGTTCTAAAGAGCAGCCTCTTCTAGAGCCTAAGAGAAGTGCCAAGGGATCTCTGGTTAACACGTTTCCTCCCCAACTCAGGTAAGAGAACAGTGCTGAGTAATACTTTACTAAACCTGAACCCTTAGAAAAATCTTCTTCTTCCTGTTCTGAGCTATTATCAAGATAGATTAGCACTATCCACAAGAATTTTCTGCAATGATAGAAATGTTTTGTATCTGCACTCACCTGTATGTGGTAGCCACTAGCCACATGTGGCTATTAAGCACTTGAAATGTAGCTAGTGTAGGTGAAGAACTGATTTTTCAATAGTATTTAAATAGCCACATATGGACAGTGCCAAGTAGTCACACAATTCTGGTTAAAGCAAGAGAGGCACTTCTTATGCCTACTATAATTCTGGGTTCTTGGGGGGAAAAAAAAACTGTGTGCAAAAGTTCTACCTTCTGAAAAATGTTATTTATTCATTCAACAAACATATATTAAGCACTGACTATGGGCCAAATGCTATTATAATTCCCATGAACATAACAATGCCACTACCCTCATAGACCTTACTTTCTAATGCAAAGATTAGCAAACTAGCAATTTGCAAGCACTATCCCATTTAATCTTTGAGACAACTACTCTCTACATTGGTAAAAAGTGAAACTAGAGCCTGAGAATGGATATTTCTAACAAGCTTCCAGCTGATGGCCGATGCTGTTTGTTCATAGGTCATAACCTCTGTGTCAGTGACTCTCAGCCCTGGTTACACATTAGAATCATCTGAGGAAAGTTTTAAAAAGATGATATCCAGGCCCCACCCCCTAGAGATTCTGATTCAATTAGTCCAAGACCCAGGCATCAATACATTTATAAAGCTTTCCTCATGATTCAAATATACAACCAGGCTTGAGAATCACTTCTCTGTTGAAATTCTACTGAACTGTAGTAAAGAGAACATTCAAAGACCAACGATCTAGTTCTAACTCTGATGTGACACTTTGAAGCAAGTTGCTTCCCCTCTCTGGGGCTCTGTTTTCCTTGCAGGTGAAAAATGAGGAGGCTCAAACCAGATGAGCTCAGAGGGTTCAAGCTCACTGCTTTGTCAGGCCCTCACACAGAGAAGTGAGACCCTCAGAAGTTCCCAGGTCTCCCGATGGCACTGGGGGCAGCAACATGATTCCCAAATGCCAAGTCCACTTAGGGTAAAACTTACGGCTGGCGTCCCTTGTTTGGCAGTTTATCAATACAGAAATGTTTCCACGTAGCGACTCTGCCTTATGTACCATACAGCTAGAATTGCAGTTTAAAATGATTTAAATGATTTTATGATTGTGAGAGCAGTATTTCATTATAGGAAATTTGGAAGATTACAGAAAGTATCAAGAGGAAAACCCTTGAACTGTGTTTTTATAACAGCCTTCTTTATGAGACAAGTAAGTGACATTGTGATCAAATGATTTCCCACGGACACCGGGATGGCTGGGTGGCCCAGAGAGGCCTCCCCAGCAAAAGTTCTAAAGGCTAAAACCCTATTATTAATCCTTGGTAAATGCAGCTCCAAGCCTGGACTCAAGCGTGGGCTCCTATTTGGAGCATGGGAACTGTAGGCTATAAACTAGAGGATTTTTCAACAGTGCTTTCTTGCAAACTGGTAGTGAGTGACCTCGGTTTCTTCATCGATGGATTACCCACTGTGAAAAATTCTCCTGAATATTTCTGCACTGCTTGTGAAATCTGCAGGCAAAAGATATTGGATAAAAAGCTTAGCCCTTTGCTTTCACTGAGAGTAACTGTACATGGGAGGGAATAGCAGAGTAGGAGTCAGAAGAAGAATGGGCTGGGACCAAACAGTTCTGGGTTCAAACCCAACCAATGCCTTTTACAGACTGAATGTTTGTATCTCCGCCCCCTACCCACTGCCCTGACCAGTTCTTATGTTGAAGCCTTAACCCCGCAATGTGATAGTATTTGGGGATGGGGCCTTTGGAAGGTAATTAGGTTTAGATGAGGTCATGAAGGGTGGGGGCCCTGATGGGATTAGTATCTTTTATGAAGAGGAAGAGAGACCAGAACTCTGTGTCTCCACCATGTAAGGACACCAAGAGGAGGCAAGCATCTACAAGCCAGGAACAGGGCCCTCACCAGATAACTGAATCAGCCAGCAGCTTCATCTAGGACTTCCCAGCCCCTAGAACTGTAAGAAATCAATGTCTGTTGTTTAAACCACACAATCAATGGTATTTTTGTTATAGCAGCCAGAGCTGACTGAGACAACCTCTTACTCCTCCTTTTCTCTATGCAGAGAAGGTAATTGTATCCACTTCACAGGGTTACTCTGAAGCTTTAATGATAAACTGTATGTAAGTAGAACACTGAGCACAGTATTTGGAACATAGTTATGGCTCAGAAAAGTAGTACTATTATGAATAATAATGATAATAATAATAATAGTTTTTAAAAACTTAGCTATTTTGAGATATGGCTGACTTCAAGACAGAAACAAATGCATGTCCTTTTGCTTCTCTTTTAGATGGATCGGTCTCTGTGGAAATCCTGAGTGTTAAAACATCCAACAAGGCTGAAGCTAGCTCTTGTCACCATGCAGACATTACTTCGTGCCAAGTATTTTCAGCGCCGGACAATTCCTGGTTCTGTGAGAGCACTGCATAAAGATTATAGACCAGGGATCCCTCAGAATTTCTCCAACTATGAATCCATGAAACAGGACTTCAAATTGGAGGTTCCAGAGTATTTCAACTTTGCTAAAGATGTCCTTGACCAATGGACCAATATGGAAAAGGTATGGAGCAAGGGCCAGTCAAACTGCAGTTTCTCAGTTGAGAGTGATTTTTCCCTCAGGGGACACTGGGGAATGTCTGGAGACAATTTTGTTGCCATAGTTAGGGGAGGGTATGTCCTAACGATGGAGGCCAGGGGTGTCGCTAAATATCTTGTAATGCACAGGACACCTGGCTCAACATGTTCCATGGTTGAGAAAGCCTGGGTTACAAAAACATAGGATTATAGGTGAACTTTTTTAAGAACAAAAAGGAGTATAGTGAAGAGGGAATCCAAGAGCCAGAAATGGTAGGAAATGAGGCACAGAAAGAGCACTGAGAGAAATCTACAGGGATGAAAGAATTCTAAGTCTATAGAAAGAAAAATAATCAGGCTAAATGAGAAATGACATGTGCCAGAAGAAATGACATGTCTCTCAACGTCTAGAAATGAGGACCCTAGAGTTATTTCCAAATACTCCAAGTATGTCCTAACTAACAATGACCTGTGAATTTTCTTCAGAGAAAATATTCCATGAAGTCAGTCGAAATAGAATTGAGCTGCATAACCACCCTGAATCTATGATTGGTTTATCTTTCCTCAGGCTGGAAAGAGACCTTCTAATCCAGCCTTCTGGTGGATAAATGGAAATGGAGAAGAAGTGAGATGGAGTTTTGAGGACCTGGGATCTTTGTCTAGGAAATTTGCAAATATCCTTACAGAAGCCTGTGCCCTGCAAAGGGGAGATCGAGTAATTGTGATTCTTCCCAGGATCCCAGAGTGGTGGCTTGCAAATATAGCCTGTATGCGAACAGGTTAGTAGTATTTGCAGTCTGATCATATTTAAATTAGGCTGGATGAAAGATTTTTCAGAACATCTAAGTAATCATGAGACATGATTTTATTTGGGCAAATTATTTGAGGAACTGTCACAACATGGTATGATTCTCAGGATCTTAAACACGTGTTGGAAACATGCCATATCTTTTGACCCAGACTATGAATTGGGTTTCTCATGATGGAATAGATTTAAGTGAATGCCAAGCAACAATGAAACACCTTTATATCTACTTCTTTTCTCCTCCTATAGGACCCATGGTCATCTGAAACCCAACCAGTCACAAACTCAAAAAACCCATCCTAGTTCTTGTTTCACACCTTTATTCCTCTCGTGGTTAATTACCATTGGTCTGATGCCCTAAGCCGGGCATCTGCAACTCCTCCTCCCTAATCAGTTCCTACATCTTGTAAATTTGACCTCCCCCACCCCCCAGCATGCTGCCTCTTCTCTAATTCCATTGCCATTGCTTTACTTCAGTTCCTTACCATCTCCTGAGATGATTTTCAAAATGCTATATTTTAGCATTATCCCTCTTCATGACTCAAGCAAGAGGTGTTTATTGGGCACTTGCTATGTTTTAGGAGCTTTGGGGTTTAGGGTCCAGTGGGAGAGAGAGTCAGGAGTTAAGTAAACACATAGTGGGGTGAATGTGACCAGTACTATAAAAAGGAAATAGCACAGGAGCCATCAGAATGTATCAGAGGAATAGCTCCATAGTCTGAGAGAAGGTCAGGGGGATATTTGAGCTGAAACCTAAGGGATGCGTTGGTCAGTGGGAGAAGTTGCTGATGATGGGAGCATTCTAGGTAAATGGAAAAGCTTCCGCAAAGGTCCTGAGGCAAGAAATAACTTGTAGATTTGAGGAAATGAAAACAATCCAGTGTGAACGTGGGTACTAACTAGGGTCCACCTCATCCCAGGGACTATCATATGTGAAATCTCGTGTCAGATGCTTCTCCCCTAGGCACGCTTGGGTGAGTGCTGCCAGGATTCGCTTAGTAGTCTCCTTTTTCTACATTCTGTGGCTGCAGTGCCCCCTTCTGAGATCGATTCTGTATTAATATATCAGAGTATGGTTTAATCTTGCTGCTCTTTGAATCCTTATGTTTTCTTGACACTAACTATCAATATCTCTGTTCTGATCTACTTTATGTTGCGCATACAGTTTAGCTCTTGGAAGGCAATCTATTCCTCTTATTTCTCAGTTCTCAGAAATATACTGCCCTGTAGCCCCCAGTGCCAACAACAAACTCGTATCACATTTTAATTTTCAAACTCTTTTGTATTATAGGCCAAATCCCTTTGCAACAGAAATCTCAGTATATAATTATTTTTAAAAATATTAATTTCCAATGAGTTGTTCCTTTACTTTAAGTAATATTTACCACAAAAAGTTAGTATAACACCCAATCTCAGTCCACAGGTTTTGAAGAAGTTTCTATAATGCATGTGATCCCTCTGGAATTATAATAAATATTCACCCATTTGCTCATTTTATCTTCACAAAAGGATTATGGTTAGGAAGGGGAAGTCTCATTTTATGAACAGGGAGGGAAAAGCTTTCATGGATGGGGGAAAAGGAACATTAAGTCATTTGCCTAAAAGCATTCAGAAAGTCAGTGGTAGGGCCTAGTGCCCGCTCTAGCATTTTCTAGAATTTTCATAAAATTTCAAAATATGAATAGTTCTTAAAAATCATCTAGGTGGGGGAAGTCAGCATCATGGTAGTGCGAGCTCTTTCCTTCATCTCTTCTCTTCCGTCCACAACTAGTAGAATATCCATAACTCAGCAAAGATTCCTCTGCCCAACACACCAGGACTCCAGAGAGATCCACACATCAGTACATCTGAAGGTGGGTGGATTGGAACATAGGAATTGGAGCCAAAGGAACAGGAGAGAGGGTGCCTGTGACCCTGGCCCTTCAGCCACAGTGGATGAGAGTACAGCTCCAGGGAACCCAGGGGAGGTGGCGCACACAACTTCAGCTTCCCAGCTGCAGCCAAAGGGAACTAGGCAGCTGCAGCAGCAGGGCCTGGGACTCCAGCCCCATCAGCCACAGTGGCACCTAAGACTCCCAACACCCGCAAACCTAACAACCCTGATGGGACAGAGGTGCTCACCATCCCGGTGCCCTCAGTGGTGACAGAAGCAGCAGCAAGATACTGAGGGCCTCAAAGGCACAAGCAGCAACAGTGAGGGCTCCCCTAAGACCCCTGGCAGAGGAGGTGAAGGGTGGAAAATGCTGATTCTCAAGTACAGTCAGAGGCAGCTCGGGTTAGAGAAATCAAAGACCTGTGCTATAGTGCCACCTACTGAAAAACGGAAGAAAGTCCTCTAATTTCCCACCTGTTGAATTGTTAGGATCAAACTAAACAAATCTTACTTAGTAAGAAAGATACTCACTCCTTCAAATGTGTGGGTAGAGGAACAACTCATCAAGTGCTGTGAAAAAGCACAGTGACTCGGTATCACGAAAAGAAAGTGACAGTTCTTCAGAAACCAGACTTAAACTCGTGGAAGATTGCAAGCTGATAGAGAATTCAAAATAGCTGTTAACAAGCTAGCTATTAAAAAAAAATAAGAGTCATTTCAATTATCTCAATAATAAAATTAATGAACAGAAGGAGTATTTTACTAAAAGGCTGAACCTATAAAAAAGAAACAAATAGAAATTCTGGAGCCAAAGCACTCAATAAAGGATATAAAGAATGCAATAGAAAGCATTGGGAATAGAGCAGACCAAATGGAAGAGAGAATAAAGAAGCTCAGATACAGAAATCTAGAGATGATTGGGATAGGAGAGAAAAGAGAACTAAGGAGGATTTTAAATGAAGAAATTATAAGAGAACTATCTTGGGGGAGGGTATAGCTCAAGTGGTAGAGCACATGCTTAGCATACACAAGGTCCTTGGTTCAACCACCAGTACTTCCATTAAAAAACAAACTAATCGTAAATAAATAAATAGACCTAATGACCTCCCCCACCAAAAAAAGATAAAATAAAAAATAAATTTAAAAAAACAGAGAGAGAACTATCTGACTCCATTAGGAAAGACAACATAAAGATAATGGGTATCCCAAAAAGAGAAGAGATGGGGAAAGGAGAAGAGACTTTATTTAAAGAAATAATAGCTAGAACGTCCCAAATCTGGGGAAAGAACTGGATGTACAAGTCCAGGAAGCTAACAGAACACCTAATTACCTCAAAGCAAAAAGACTTTATTCAAGACACGTTATATAAAGCTGTCAAAAGTCGATGATAAAGAATTTTAAAGGCAGCCAGGGGAAAAAAGACAGTCACCTACAAAGGAAGCCCCATTAGGTTATCAGCAGATGTCTCAGCAGAAATTCTGCAGGCAGGAGAGAGTAAAATGATATACTCAAAATATTTAAAGATAAAAACTGTCGGCCAAAAATATTGTATCCATCAAAGTTATCCTTCAGATACAAAGGAGAAATAAAGGCTTTCCGGAAAACTAAAGCTCAAGGGGTTCATCACCACTACATCTGCTTTATAAGAAATGTTGAGGGCTTCTTGAAGATGGCCAGGTGTGAGGACATGAAGTCCATCTCTCCCCCACGAACACATCAAAAATACATCTATAAGTGGAACAATTTTCACTAAAAATTAATTGGAAACTGGCAGAAGGACTCCTGTACAACCAAGGCTGTAAGAAAGATACACACATAAACAGGTAGGACAGGAGGAAAAGTGATCGCATGAGGACCTGTGCCTGCCCCTGGGAGGGGACTCAGAGGAAAAGGGAGGTCACCCAAGTGGACACCTGCCCTGGGGAATGAACAGGTCAGGGCGCAGACCAGGCATCCTAGTCCTGGAGTCCTACTCAGAGGAGACAAGCTCCACTGGCTGCTTGGAGATGGCTGGGACAGGTAGAAAGGCTGGAGAAGCCTGGACTCCAGGGGTGCTGGCTTGCCCCCCAGGCAGGGTGGAGAGAGGTCTGCCCTAGCAGCTTCTAGGTTTCCCGAGACCACCTCGCTGTGCGTCCCAGCCCAAGGCAGCCGAATGCTCCAGCCCCACGCACTCCGTGCCACAGCATGGCCCTAGATCTAGGGCAACCATGACCAGGGACAAGATATGATGGTGGGCTGTGTCTGCGTGGAGCTGCAGGTGCCCACACAAGCAGAACACCGGACCTCTGTAGGCTCACAGGCCCCACTTGCTTCACCACTCTCGTCCTTTGGAGCAAAGGTCCCGGTGTAGGAAGAAGAAAAACACACACTTATAGGGAACAGAGCCAACATGAGATGGCCAACAGGCGTATGAAAAGATGCTCACTATCACTAATTATTAGAGAAATACAAAACAAAACCACAGTGAGCTATCACCTCACACCTATCAGAATGGCTGTCATCAAAAAGTCTACAAATAACAAATGTTAGAGAGGATGTGGATAAAAGAGAATCCTTGTACACTATTGGTGGAAATGTAGACTGGTGCAGCCACAGTATAGAAGTTCCTCAAAAATTAAAAATAGAACTACCATATGAGTCTGAAATTCCACTCCTGGGTATATATCTGGAAAAAAATAAAAACACTAATTCAAAAAGAGACATGCCCTCTAATGTTCACAGCAACACTATTTACAATATCCAAGACATGGAAGCAATCCAAGTACCTGTCAACAAACAGTTGGATAAAGATGTGGTGTGTGTGTGTGTATGAATATTAATCAGCCATAAGAAAGAATAAAATTCTACCACCGCAACAACTTAGATGGACCTAGAGAATATTATGCTTAGTGAAATAAGTCAGACAGAGAAAGACAAATAGTGGGAAGCACAGAAAAGATAAATGCCTCAATCCTTTCCTTTGGAAAGAAACCATAAAACATTCGTGTATGTTTGAAGAGGCACTGAACTGACTTGGTTAAATGTATAGCTCTGAAGTCAGGCTGCAGGGTTCAGTCTGTGCACTGCCATTTGCTACTTCAGTGATCTTGGGCATGTTATTTATAGTGTGGACTAAGAAAGCCACCTGCCATGTCAGTAAACAAAGGATGTTGCAGCCACTGAGCCATCAGCCACTACAGCTGCCCCCAGCAGTGAGCCCTGAGGAAACTCAAGATAGGAAAGAATAGATAGTTATGGTGCTTTTCAAAGGAATAATTTCAGTGAACCCAGATGTTTGCATCTTCCCCTACATAGAAAAACACTAAATTCATTAACTTGAGATATCTGGTTTTCTGTAATTAATAGTAATTGATGTTCCGACTACCTCCTTTTTGTTGCAAAACCCTCTACGTATCGTGGCTCCTTCCTTACCCCTTCGGAATAGTCCCTCGGAGCTATCTGGGAGGCTGCCTCCTGGGCTTGAGTCCTCAGAAAGTCCACCAAATTAATCATAATTCTCAACTTTTAGCTTGTACATTTTTTTTACTCAACAATAGCTTTTATGTTTTGGATTTTTTGGTGGGGATTCAATGAGTTAAAACATGCAAAACACTTAGAATAGCACCTGGCACTCAAGTACTCAATAAATCTTGGTTAATATTACTTTTCAATCAAAACTCTCTTTAAGTTGAATGTGATGAATGTTCTACAGATAAAAGATAATTATCTAGTATTGAACATCTTTGCATGTTTGGTCAAAAGGGTCATAGACTTTGAGGTCCCTTGAAAGGCAAAAGCAGAATAATGAAAGGAAGACAAATAGATACCTTGCCTGGAAAACTGACCAACTCACTCTGAGAAATACAGAATGCACCTGAGTTATCTACACTACCCTAATTGTGGAAAAATATGCACAACCTAAAAGTTGAAAATTATGTTGTATTTGGTAGACAAAACTGAGTATTCAAATCCTGCTTTTCTCTGTTGTGAACCACCTTAAGGTGCACAGTTGGGGGTGGCTACAGTGGCTGATGGCTTGAGGATTCCACATCTTATGGTTACTGATATGACAGGCAACATTTTCCATCCACATAATTAATATGATGAAAGAAATCCTTTCTAAACATTTTCTTTTCTTCTCCTTTAGGGACAGTTTTAATTCCAGGAACCACTCAGTTGACCCAGAAAGACATCCTTTACAGACTACAATCTTCAAAAGCAAAGTGCATTATCACCAATGAAGTTTTAGCTCCAGCCGTAGATGCTGTTGCATCTGAATGTGAAAATCTGCACTCCAAGCTAATTGTGTCTCAGAAACCCAGAGAGGGGTGGCAGAACCTCAAGGAGATGATGAAGTGAGTAGCCTTAATTGTTACAGAACAGCTTCGCCCAAAAGAAAGGCAACATTGATCAGATAGTCGACCCATGATTGACCAGAAAAATGAAAATTAGAACAACAGACAGTCACTAGCTGGGGCCTAGGGCAAGTGTGTAGGAAGGTCAGTCACATGAGTGGGGTATAGATGAAGCAGGCACTGGTCAAGCAGAGGATGTTCAGAGAGTGAGAGAACACCCACCTTGAGCGACCTGACCGTACAAAGCACTTCAAATATACTAACTCATTTAAATCTCGCAGCAACTTAAGGGGCAGGTACTGTGATTATGCAGATAAATCAGGTCAAATGCTAGGATCTGGAAGAGCTGGGTTCCAAACTCAGGCAGTCTGGCTTCTGAGCCCACAGAATTCCTAACTGCGAAGTTTACTGCTTCTGAGAGACTGGCACGATAAACCTGCTTTAGATTTCAAGAGCAACCATATTTATGATCAAAGTGTAGGTACACAGCTATAGGCATTAACTTTTTTTAAAGAAAAAGAAATATGGAACCATAAATTAAACATTTGGCTTAGCTTTGTTAGAACTTAAAAATAGCTTTTCTGTATGTCTCATGGCCAGATATTTCTCTTTCATTCATTCTCAGCTCAATATTCCCAGGTAAAAATCGGTATGCTTCTTAGATACTCAACGTGCAGAGTTTACCTCCTCTCAGCTGCCCTGATGTATAGAATACATAGAAGCCCACTTACCCTTCAGAATTAAAATGTTTTCTTTCTCTTTAAGGCTTTTCCTTCCCTGGGCAGATACTTAGATCCTCTTCGGTCTTATTGTGTGCTGTATTCAGACCTATGTAGACTCTCTTGTGGGAAACAGAAAAACCATCCTTTTGAGGGGTCAGCAAATGTTTTCCATACAAGGGATGGATAGTAAATATATAGTACATGTACTCACCTCTGCTGTCATAGTGTGGAGAGCAGCCATAGACAGTATGTAAAAGAATGGACATGGCTGTGTTCCAATAAAACGTTACCTGCAAAAACGAAAGTCAGGCCAGATTTGTCCTGTGGGCTGTAGTTTGCCATCCCCATGCCTTAAATCATTACCCATGACTTCTGCTAACATACTCATTGTTTTTTAATGAGATGAATTTATTTTAATTTTTAAATGATCACATAATAAAATGAACTTTGGGGGGCATTATAGTTCTATGAATAAATACGTGTACAGATTCATGTAACTACTGCCTCAATCAGGACACACAACTCATTTCCATTACCCTAAAAAGACTCCTACATTCTATCCTTTTATTTCCACATCCTCCCCCTACCTTGAATTCCTGGCAATCATTAACCTTCTTTTTCTTTTTTTTTTAAACACTTCTATTGTGGTATGGTTCCTGTACAGTAAACTACACATATTTCAGATGTACAATTTGATGAATTTTGACAGATGTATACACCCATGAAAACCACCACCGTAATCAAGATAGCTAACATTTCCATCACTGCCCAGGAGGTGCAATTTTTGAATTCCCAATTTATCTCTTCCCACCCTCTTTACCCTCTGGTAACAAGTTTGTTCTCTATGTCTGAGTCTGTTTCTGATTTGTAGGTAAGTTCATTTGTGTCCTTTTTGTTTTTTTTTAGATTCCACATATAAGTGATATCATATGGCATTTTTCTTTCTCTTTCTGGCTTACTTCACTTAGAATAACGATCTCCAGGTCCATCCATGTTGCTGCAAACAGCATTATTTTATTCTTTTTACTAACTGTCTCATTTTTTAAAACATACATTTTAAAGCATCCACAGTGAAGGGAAAGGGGAAATTCTTCACATATCCATGATTTCAAGATCGTAGAATCCTCATTCTGTTGAAAGGATGATAAAATTCTTGAGTTTTTTAACTGCTTCAAATTTTCTTCATCATACAGTAAAAAGCTATGAAGTCAGCTTGTTATAAATGGGCTATTGATGGCAAAGTTTAGTTTGCTTCTGGAAATCACCTCAAAAGATGGAGAGAGAGAGATGGCTTTTACCTTGGAGTTCAACCTAGGACACTGGGGTCTGACTCATGAGATGAAGAGATCCGAGTAAATCCTTTTCTGTCGTAACAGTCTATGACACTGTGTTTAATGTGCAGAATTATTGTAATTCTTCCTTCATAGACATGCCAGTGACAACCACACTTGTGTGAAGACAAAACACAATGAGATGATGGCCATTTTCTTTACCAGTGGAACAAGCGGATCTCCGAAAATGACCGGACACACCCACAGCAGTTTCGGTTTAGGATTATCTGTAAATGGAAGGTACTTTCACAGAACAGCAGCTTGAAGTGTCGACGCTACAAAGGTGATGATTCCTTCGTTGGTCTTTTAAATTTGTTTTCATATATACACACCAAGTCTATTCTTTGTCTTCCCAGGTTCTGGCTGGATTTGACCCCTTCAGATGTGATATGGAATACCTCAGACACAGGCTGGGCAAAATCTGCATGGAGCAGTGTTTTTTCTCCATGGATCCAGGGAGCATGTGTATTTGCACATTATTTGCCGCGGTTTGAGCCAACTTCCATCTTGCAAGTAAGGCAGAGCACAGGAGGTCAACCTTTAGAAATGCATTAGTGCTGTCACTGACAGGACTGGTGAATAAAGTAACCTGAAGAAATCAGAGTAGACAACATGAGTTAAGGTATTTCACATCTGGAAAATCAAATAAGCCCGAAAAAGAAATACAGAGGAAAGGTGTGAGTGTATTCTAACAGTGTTTTAAGTTTCTGCTGTGTCTACCATAGACTTTTAGGCACTTATTACAAATTGTGGTAAGACCACTTCTTCTCAATTGCAGACACTTTGCAAGTTTCCCATCACAGTCTTCTGTTCAGCACCAACTGCATATCGAATGCTTGTACGGAATGATAAGGCCAGGTAAGAAAGGCTGGTTGGTAAATGGGCACTTAGCTGGGGGAGGGGGAGAGGAAGAGGAAGCCTTCTATAACGTAAAAGGTCTCTCTGCCTAAAAACATAGTTCCAGCCCTGTCTTCTTCTCCTCCTTCTTGCTTACATTCTGTAAATGATAATTATTACATCCAGGGCGGGTTCCCCAAGCAGGGAGAGGAATGGGAGGATTCAGCCACATGTACAGTTCTGAGCCCAGTGGTTATGGATAAGAAACTGTCTAATCTTTTGTATGATGACTGTTGCTTGCACTAAGAAAATAGAGGAGTCACCCCTATTTATAACCCTATCCCAGCAGAGAGGAAAGATGAATATCCTTTATTACTAATTCCATTTGAAAGTATGGATTGGTAACTATTTTTAAATTGATTTTATTTAATTTTTGAGGAGGAAATAATTCACATGGCATAAAATTCAATAGGTACAAAAGGATGTATAGAAAAAAGTCTTCCTCCACGTCTTGTCCTCAATCTCAGTTTGCCCTCTCCCCGACATCTATGCATGCACAAGCCAATATGTTCTCCCTGTCTCTTTTATAATGGGAACATGATATGCACACAGTTCTGCACCTTTCTTTCTTCACCTAACAATACATCCTGGAACTATGCTGTCCAATTTGGTAACCACTAGCCACATGTAGGTATTTAAAGTTTAAGTAAATTAAAAATTCTGTTCCAGACTATAGTTAATAATAATACTATATTCCATATTTGAAGTTGCTAAGAGAGTAGATTTTAAAAGTTCTCATCACAAGAAGAAATATTTTTGTAACTATGTAGGGTGACAGATGTTGACTAGACTTACTGGGCTGATCATTTCACCATATATACAAATAACAAATCATTACATTGTACATCTAAAACTAATACATTATAGTTAATTATACCTCAATGAAAAAAAATCAGTTCCTCAGTTGTGCTAGTCATGCTTCAAGTGCTCAATAGCCACACAGGGTTAAAGGAGACAATAATGGACATCTCAGATTATAGAAATTTCTGTTATAACAAAATGTTCTTTTGGACAGTACTATCCAGGAACTTCTTTATTCCTTTTTAACAACTGCATAGTATTCCATTGCATAAATACTCCACAGCCAATTTAACCAGACAACTGGTAAACTTTTCATCACTGATTTAACATATTACTATGTGGTACCTTCCCTAGGAATAGCATGGCTTTTCTTTGCAACAAGTCACATCTCCCTCACAAATCAAGGGGAGAAAAGAAAAAAAATCTGATGTTTTGGGAGTCCTTTAATGATAGAATGGTTTGTTTATTTTGTATTAGAGAAGGAAGTTAGGAAAAAACTAAAACAAATTTTATGTTGAAATTTCAGTAAAACAATCCTAATTTCCATTTTTCTCCATTTTCTTCCTAAATTTAACTTGTTATCTGTCTTCTGAGAAGCTATAAGTTCAAAAGCTTAAAGCACTGTTTGAGTGCTGGGGAACCAATCAACCCTGAAGTGATTGAACAATGGAGAAATAAGACGGGTCTGGATATCTACGAAGGATATGGACAGACTGAAACGGTATACAGACCTCGCTGAAAAGACAAGACTGGACTAGATTCGGTTAGACGAATAGAAACCGAAGTGTTTATGACATCTTTATCAATTGTTTGACAAATAGGGAGGGAGTGGAGTGATTAGAACAGTTTAAAAAAAACAAAAACTTGAGGGATGTTAGTTGCAAAATTGCTCTGTGACATATACAATTTAAATAGCCATTCACTGAGAAAAAGCACTATATAATTAACAAGGGTAAGGACATTAAAATACTTTTTAAATAAAAAAATACTAGATCTACAAAAATATTCTGACTGAAGTAATAGGGAACTTTCTTAGGGCTGCCTAAGCATGGGAAATGCTAAGGGTAGGGTATAGCTCAAGAGGTACAGTGTGTGGTTAGCATGCATGAGGTCTTGGATTCAATCCCCAGTACTTCCATTAAACAAAAAAGTTAAATAAATAAACCTAATTACCTACCCCCCCCACAAAAAAAAAGGAAAATGCTGAGTTCCTTTCCTTGTTACTTGAAATACTAAGAGTTTGACAGACAGCTCCTTGACAAGCATACTCTAAAAAGGGTTCTCTAAAGAGCCTGTAGAAATAAGAATGAGAAGAGATTCTAGAGGAAATGGGTGAAATAGTAACAAAAGTGGCTGTTATGTAGGAAAGGGAGAGGATAAGATGGAGCAGACAAGAGAAAGGCTGAAAGAGAAAGGCAGTGTGTCTTTTTGTAATGCTTCAATTTATAAACCAGGAGAATGTAGTACTTGGTCAAAAATTAAAATGCCAAAAAATAAAATAAAAACAAAAATTGGCAAATTTCTTAAATAGAGACAGCATCATAAGTATCATGCAAATACAAGTACAAATGTTTTCATAAATATGGGTATTTTAGTAGTTATAAATTTATTTAGTGTTATAACTCATATTTGTTTGTTTAGTATCTATCTCTGTACTTCATGAGAGCAGAGAATTTATTTTGAGCCTGGTCCATAGCAAGTTCTCAATAAATATTTGTTGAATAAATGCATGGTGGATGAATGAATACATTTAAGTTACTGGTAATGTTACTTGACTCATTCTTCTTCACTAGGTGCTAATCTGTGGAAATTTTAAGGGAATGAAAATTAAGCCTGGCTCAATGGGAAAGCCTTCACCTGCCTTTGATGTTAAGGTTTGTACATCCCTTTCCAGGAAAATATTTAACAACCCAATCTGTTTACCACCTACCCCACTTCTGCTCCCTTATACTCCTAGTTTTAGGAATGATTATGCTCCTTTCATGACATCTTAACTTCCATGTAGAGATGGAAATGTGTTAGAAATGTTAGTTTATTGGTCTTTTTTTTTCCCAAAGCAGTTGCTTATGCCAAGTAGTTCTAAGCATTTTATAAATATTAATTTCCAGAAGGAACCTATGAGAGACACAGCAATATTAGAATCATTTTACAGATGAGGACCAGAGAGGTTAAGGAAACACCCAAGGTCATACAGATCGTAGCTGCTAGTGCTAGGATTTGGTCCCAAGCAGTCTGGTTCCGGTGTCCATACTCTTAACACCACCATCACCCTGCCCCTTCTGGTTAGGGAGCTCCAGAACTCCTAAAAGCGTCAAGTGGACCAGAAGGGGCTACAGTTTACAGTGGCTGCAGCATTCTCCCTCTCTTCCTGAAGGACTGCCTGACCAGTTCCTGGCTCTCCTGTAACCACCGCCATTTTCACTACCTGATCCCTACTTATCCCATCAGCACATGTTGTACAGGGTTAAAGCTGCTCTCTGATCAACCCAGACAAAGCCAAGGATAGCCAAAGGAAATTACATTGATACGCAAAAGGAAACAATATCAACACAAACACAAAACAAAGGAGTTTCAAAGACCTCAGAACCAAACTTAATGAGGGTTAGCTGTAGATTAGATGACTATTTCCCAAGCTTCTCTGATCATAAAGAATCACCGGGGTGTGTTAGGGGATAGAAGGACCCTCGAATTGGAAAGCCCACCAGGTGGGTAGGCAAGCCCCTCACCCCACCGAAATGTGTAGGTTCTCGCCGGCTGACTGTGAAAGAATTCTCAATACAGGCAGAGGGACAAAGTGAAAACAAGAGCTGCTTTTATTGCTCAGAGAGAAAAGAAAACACTAGAGATATAGGTCAGTGGTAGAGGGTGTGCTTTTGCATGCACGAGGTCCTCGGTCTAATCCCCAGTACCTCCATTAAAAATGTTTAAATAAATAAATAAATCTAATTACCTACTGCCCCTCTCCCAAAAATCAGATAATATTTCTAAAGAGCATACCAAAATGCTTAGCACATACTAAAGGTCCAAAAGATAAGTGCTGTTAATTATTATTTACCTCTCTCTTGAATTCCTTAACTTTGAAAAGCTTTTCTAAGAAGAGAGGGGGTAGGGAACATTAGCCACATTCTATAAACAGACTTAACAATAGTTCTATAAACAGACTTAACTATTGTTTGAGGCTGAATAGTTTTTGAGGCTGAACAGTATTTCTTTGTATGTATACACAACATTTTGCTTATCTATTCATCTGTTGATGAATGCTTGGGTTGCTTCCACATTTTAGCTCTTGTGAAGAATGCTATGATAAACATGGGTATACAGATATCTCTCTGAGACCCTGCTTTCTATTCTTTTGAGAGTATACCCAGGAGTGGAATTACTGGATTATATAGTCATTTTATTTTTAATTTTCTTAGAGACTGCTGTACTGTTTTCCATAGTGGCTGTACCATTTTATTCCCACCAACAGTGCACAGGGGTTCCAATTTCTCCGTATCTTAGCCAACACTTGTTATGTTTTGTTTTGTTTTGTTTTATTTTGTTTTGTTTTGTTTTGTTAGGAGCCATCCTATTAAGTGTGAGGTGGTATCTCATTATAGTTTTGATTTGCATTCCCCTAAAGCAGCCACCTTCATTTTTAACTCTTTCTCAAGGGCTCTTATTATTGGGCCCCTTGTTACCTAGCTAATATTATCTTTAGTGACATTTTGGCAACTAGGGGTGTACTCCAACCAGCTGGATATCAGGTTTTTGCAACTTTAGAGACCAAGCTCATAATCTTCTTGTTTAAACATTCTAGGAACCCTTAAATGATGAGGAATGTGATCTCCTCAGATAGACTGTTTTGTCTGTTTTCCCATCTATTAAATAGTAGTCTGTGTTAAATAATTGGAACTCTTTAACATCTCTTTCCTATCAATAATTTCTTGATACCTGGAGCCAAATACTTCTGAGACGCCTGGGAGGGAAGTTATACTTTTTTATTTGTAAGAACTTAAAAGTAAGTTTTTACGTTTAGAATTCCTTTGCCTTGCAAGCTTCTCATTGGGGACATAAGCCCTTTTCCTTCTGGAAAGGGCCAGATAAATATACCCTTACTTGCCAGCAAGCTACATCTCAGATTTGAAGGATGTGTATAAAAGCAGAGTAGAATTTTCATATTTAGAAACAGCTAAAAAGTCAGTTGGAGCAAAATCAGATATATGAGATAAGCAATCAACCTGAGAAATGCTTATCTGGATTTGTAGAAAATGGATTGAACTCCCTGGAGAGATTCCACGGAGAACTGCAATGATGAAAAGCATAGGATCTGGAGAGTGATTGTGAGATTTTAATTCCAGTTCAGTCATATACTGTGTTACTTAAAATCTCTGCACTTCAGTTTCCTCATGTGTAAAATGAGCATAATAATAGTTCTAACCAGATAGGGCTGTTGTAAGGACTAAAGAAAACAGTACATATGAAGTAGTTTCAGCATTAGCATTCATTACTTAGGATGTGGTAAGTGCTTAATAAATGCTAGCTACTTGTTTTAGAAAGTTTGATAACCAGTAATGAAATATTTATTTGAGAGGAAAAGATAATTAAGATATATTGCTAAATGATAAAAGCAGGTTGCAAAACACTCTATTATAAAGTGATCCTATTTTTTTCCTATGTCTGTATCATCTCAAAGGATATAACCAAAATGTGATTATTGCTGGGTGGCAGAATTAAAGAAAAATTTTATTCTTCTATCACATTTTGCTAACCTGCACTTTGTATTTTTCAATAAGAATTTAAATACATTTATTTCTCTTAAGAATTTAAAGTATACATAAAATGTTCTAAAGTCTGCATTCTTAAATGGCAAAAAAAAAACATGCAAAGATTTCAGATGTGACATTAAATAAAAATTTCCTTAAATTATTGTTTCATCCTGGATTTTCATTTCATTTCATTTCATTTTATTCATCCTAGATTTTAGATGCGAATGGCAATGTTCTACCTCCTGGACAAGAAGGAGATATTGGCATCCAAGTTCTACCTAACCGACCATGTGGCCTTTTTACTCATTATATAGTAAGAGACATTAAATAACATCTCATTTTCTTTGTATTTCTCAAAAGTGCTTGGTAACTCTCCCTATTTGCCACAGAATACACCTGGGATAGGTATTTGGCCTTTTCCTGAGAGATTCATTATCCCTCAGACAGGGAACTGGAGAAACACCCAAATGCTTATTAGAGAAGGGCACATTGGCCCCCCTAGGCCAGATGACTGCTCCAGGCCCATGAAGGTGAGAGGAAGGGATAGAAAGAAGACAGCCCTCTTAACATCATTAATCCTCTCCACTATAAATCAGCACACAGTCCTTTTCCTGAAATCTGATTAGGGGTCTCTCTTCATGGGAGGAGTGAGAGAGAAAGAATGGGGCAGTGAGACTTAAGTAAATTTCTTTCACTAGAGGCCTCTCAAGCTCCTTACTGTTTGCAAACATAGTTCATCTCTAATCACAGTATTCAAATTAGAGCAAAATTTGCATCAATATAGTCAAAGGTCCAGGTTCTAATTGTCGGTGAATTTTACATAATGTAGCAATACTTCCTTTTTCTTCCTGCCAGATTTACAGAATCAATTCTCTGTTTTTGTGTAAAACAAAACCAAATATAAAAACAAATCAACAACAACAACAACAAAACCCTGTCTGTTCTTTGGATGATGAGGTGTAGGAACTTTCTTTTAACTCTGGATGTTGAATTCTCTCTTTTCCTACCAGTGTTTAGATGTTAACCAGTTAACAAGAGACTTATTTAGCAGACTCTGAGCTCGAGCTCCTGCAATATTTATTTTGTGACTCATCTAAGAAAATTCTTAGGATGGCAGCATGCCTAGTGTTTGTAGCTAGAGTTTACTTTTCTTATATTCGGCTGGCTCAATGCTAGCCTTTCATCCCTATTTCACACACTAGCTCCTCTTCATTCCAAGGATTCTCAAAACCACCAAACTTTTCTTCCTTCTTAAAAATTTAAAAATCCAACTGAGGGGAGGGTATAGCTCAAGTGGTGGTCCTGGGTTCAATTCCCACTACCTCCTCTAAAAATAAATAGAAAACCTAATTACCTACCCCCTGGCCAAAAAAATAATACAGTAATAAATAAAATAAAAAATAAAATTTATTGAAAAAAAAATTCGACTGAGCAGAAGGGTCACATTCATAATAATTTTAATTATTATTTGTTTTATAGGATGATCCTACAAAAACAGCTTCAACTCTACGAGGCAATTTCTATATCACTGGAGACAGGGGCTATATGGATGAGGATGGCTATTTCTGGTTTGTTGCAAGATCAGATGACATCATATTATCCTCTGGGTAATTTTCTTCTTCATCTGTGGATATGCCTGTGTTGACTGATTGTAAGCATTCCAGAGTGAACCTTTTGCTCACCTTTATAAACTCCTGCCCTCTGTTTTATTTCCCAGTTACCGAATTGGGCCGTTTGAGGTAGAAAGTGCCCTGAGTGAACATCCTGCAGTTGCAGAGTCAGCTGTTGTCAGCAGCCCAGACCCCATCAGAGGAGAGGTAAAAGAGTTGATTCACCTCTATTTCGTAATTTGTTGGCAGTCTAGCACATACTGTGAAACAGTAGTTCACTGAAAGAGAATTACCCAAATGATTCATTCCATAACTATGCAAGTCAGATAGAGACCCATTACTAAATATGCACATCAGATAGAATATGCTAATCAGAAAGAACTGCTATAGAATAAGACTGAAAAATATATACTATAAATAATTTGAATCCTTTCCTTGGAGTGATGGGGCAATAGTGTGAATGCCAACAACCCAGACTCCCATCAGGATAGGGTGCCAGACATCAGCTAGATAGGATCCGGTCTGGAAACCAACGTGGTCCCTGGTGTAGCTCAAGAGGATAGACCGGCATCAAATATCAGGAGTGGGAGCAAGGTCAGAGACAGGAACTAAGTAACCAAAAGCAGGCGGGGCCGGTCAGTAAGGAAGGGACTCAGGACAGGAGCTATGAATAAGACAGGAGTCCTGAAAGCTCACTCCTGCTGGGGCTGATCGCGTGGTAGTTTAGGTTTAAAAGTTCCATGCCATCCTTCAGGTCACATTTGCCAGGCAGGGCCTCCAGGTAGTGAGAGCAGGGAACAGATTCAGTGATTATTAAAGTTTGTCCTGTTGCTCTGAATTCCACCAGGAGGGCTTCGTGAGCCTTAGCTCCTCCGGCACCTCTCCTCTACTATCAGTCATCCTTAGTTTTATCCAGCTAGACAGGTGCTTACTTGGTAGCTAAGCCTTTGGGAACGGAGTTAGCTTGATAGTCACCTGACATCCCAGAGTATAACACAGCCAAGATCTATCAGTGGGTTATGGCCCCACCGTAGCTCTGGGGTCTTGGTGTAGGGCTTGGGTTAGTCAAGTGAAGGGGAAGGTTTGACCAGCTTCCCAACATTACTAAGCTGCAGCGTTCCCCGGCAGATGTCCGGAATGAGGTTACCCATGCACAAAGTGGCCATGTGCTCCATGCCACAGGTAGCTCCTCTCTCTGGTAGCAGGACTGTCCTACTGGGTTGCGTATTTATCCAGGTGAGGTCCTGCCAGGCCTGTGACTGTGTAGCAAGTTCTGGAAGCATTGATCAGAAACAGATAAAATGAAGATTTTAGGACAATATCCAAAATATTGATCATTTTTATCTACCTACCATAGTTTTGCAACTTACTGTGTGCGTTTTCACATGGTTGACTATTTTGTAATAGTTCAGCTTTAAAAATTCCTAATGCTATTAGCTAATCATAACTAATTTGATAGTTTTCATCAATATTTAACTTTTTGTCTGGAAAACTATCCAAAAGCAAGTATTTCCCTAATTTAACTCCTGTTCGATAGCTTTTGTGCTGTACTCTCAGTTAATTTTTTCTTTTTTTTAAGAAATTTCACAGGGTTAATTTGCTTTTAAAAACTTAACTTCAGCCAATGACTTAATTTGTCTAGCCATATTTTCACAATTTTTAAAAATATGTTTTCTACAAGCCTTCTTTAAAAGACAAAAAAAGACAAAACTTCCAGTAGTGATAAAGGAATGGATGACTTTTGTCATTGCTGTTACTTCTGAAAAGAACGTTTAGATTTAAATACTATTTTAACATTGGAATGTGAAATAAAGAGCTGAGAAATATTTGTCTAGGTCACTGGGTTCCTAAATTTTTTGGATCCCAAAAGTCTTTGGAATTTGAAGTCCATAGGACACTATTAGACGTAGGCAATGCTGGAAATGTTCTCTATTTGCACCATCCAATACAATAACCACATATGGCTACCAAGCACATGAGATGTAGCTACTGCCACTGAGAAAATTTTATTTTAATTAATTTAAGTAGCTACTGGCTACCACATTGAATAATGTTACCAAGTCCGAGTGTTACTGAACATAATCCAGTTGCTCGCTGATCAAAAATCAATACTCGAGAGAGGCAATGTTGATGGAAAGGAAAGTTGCTTTTAATCAGAATGCTGGCAATCTGGGGAGATGGTGGACTCAGTGTCCCCAAAATACAATTTCTGAAGATTCTGCTCAGCCATGAAAGTTGTTAAAGGGAAAATCTCCATTGATCATTGCGATAAGGGGGTCAGAGTCCTTGCCACCTCCTCCATTCTCTCCTCCCCTCCCTGCATGCAGGCTTGTCAGTTCCTTGTGAATTTTCCTTAGATGCTATCTTGTTTGGGAGCTTACTGAAAGGGAAGCCAGGGAAGTGATCCGGTCTTTTTTTTTTTTTTTTTTTCAAATGCTTACATATTTGACTGACAGGCAATGTCTCTAAAGAAGACGAGGATGTTAGTACAATTAGCTCCATAGCAGGTTGTGATGATTAAATTGTCTAATTATTCTTCTTTGTTGGAAAAGTTGAGTTCTATTTGTTTTTTGTTTTTGTTTTTAAGAGATGTGGTCATTTGTTAATTACTTATGCTCCATTTCTACTTCTTTGATCTGTGGGAAAAGACCAGCAGGTTAGGCAAGGTACTGTGTGGTCAAAAATTTTGAAAGATGTGCTTAAGCCAGAAATATGTAGGGCATGGGGGTGCCTGGTTTCAAGTTAGTTATAATATAGTTTTGCTACAGTGAGAAGAAAAGGGGTTTCCTGCTGGGATGGTTTCCTGCAAAGAGCTGCTTGCATGGTGGACGTTACAGTATCTGTAAAATAACTCGGAAATGTGCATCAGACAGTGAGTCTGTGACTCTGTTGTCAACTGCTTGAGCCTGCCCTTTTGTGACTCAGGGAGGCCTGGAGACTTCAGTTTTTGTATAAACAAGAGGCAGGGGTTGGGGATGCACAGGGTCTTTCTAGGTTTCACAAGCTCATACTGCTGTAGTAGGGAAGAACCAATCTGACTCCATATTGGGTCCATTTCTTTTACTTTAACCTTTGAATCCTGTTACTTTTGCTGTAAGTTAATCACTAAAGGGATGTTGCCTATCACTTACAGTACATTTAATGGCCCATCTCCAGGAACCCTGCCTCCCATGCTTGAGTCAGGAAACATCCTGACCTGTGAATGACTGCAGGAGAAGAAATTAATGCATCCCCTCCCTGAGTTTGGCTGGAACCAGGAAATATCTGCAACAGTTTATCACCTTTTTTACTTTACCTCCTCACTTCTCCCTCTTTGCTCTATAAAAGAAACTAGCATCCAAACCTGGGCAAGATAGTTTTTTGGGATGCTAGTCCTTCATCTTCTCGGTCTGCTAGCTTTCCGAATAAAGTTGCTATTCCTTGCCCAACAATTCATCTCTGGATTTATTGGTCTGTATTGCAGCGAGCAGATTCTGGAGGGGATGTGTTAATTTCTTCTTTCCTGCAGCCATTCACAGGTGGGCCTGGTCAGGATGTTTCCTGTGAGCTTAAACAAAGGTATTTTAGCTTGACACTCAGGCATGGGAGGCAGACTTCCTGGAGATGGGCTATTATGTATAAACTATAGGTGACATCCCTTTAGTGATTAACTTTTAGCAAAACAGAATACAAAGGTTAAATGGATCTGATCTGAAATCAGACATGTTTTCTCTATTACAATAGCACAACCATAGATTCTTCTCTAAACATGCTAAATTTTGGACAAAATGGATTTTAGGTTAAAAAAATCTTATACTTCTATATATAACACCTAGCATTTTTAATGACTTAGTATGTTCCAGGTGTTGTTACAAGCCCTACATGTATGTTAACTTATTTAATTCTCACAAACTCTTTTTACAGAGAAGGAAATTGGGACACAGAGAGGTGTCCTCACTTACCCAAGATTACAAGCAAAGTGTGACTCAAATCCAGGTTTCTGATTTCAGAGTTCATGCCCTTAACCATGTTAGGTTGTTCCTTATTATCATTTTCTGTAATTGTTTATAAAGCCTTTTATAAAGATAGACTTTATTCGAAGTATAAGGAATCATCAATATGCAAATCAGAAATTACAAACACTAGTTCTTAAAATAATTTGCCTCTGAACAATTAACTTATAGCAAGGATTTTTTTTAATTCATAAAAATACTGATAAGCAATAGAGCAGGCATAAATACAAATACATTTTATGAAACGTCAAAAATGGATAGGATGAAATTGTATACATGCATACACATATACAACTGCTCCATGACAGATGTAAATTAGAAATTTTCAGGGTGTTTTGGCAAAGACGGAAATAGGTAATTACTCATAAAATGCTGTAAAACTGCTCCCTGGTAAACAATTAATCAAAATGTGAAAACTTTGTAACTGCAAGTCTTCATTTCTCACTAACTGGTTGTCCTAAGTGACTCATTGTTTAAGACAATTCACTTTTGATCAACTATTTACTCCCAGATCAAGGTGGATAGGTAATGTTGCCAGTTTATCTTGAAGCTGGATACATAAATCTATGAATTCAGTAAGATTTAAGCCCCTTAAGTGCAGGATATTTAGTCATAAAAGTTGCAGGTGACTCTTCAGGAACTATGACCACAAGGAAGCAGCATTCCATGGCAAACTTTGGGCTGGTAATCTGGATTTGGTGGTGCATACTCATTGATTCACCCAGAGTCCTGCCTCTAGGGGAGACAGTAAATGCAGTGCCCCAGGAGAGAACATTTAGAATCCCATTACACCCTTAAAGGGGACTACACAGGAGGAATGGCCTCTGTCTTCTCCATTAAAGGTCCAAAATCTCGGCATGATTTTCTAAAGCGTTTCAAGGTGAACTTTGGGGAACAGGATTTGTGAGCATTAAGTGATGAAGTCTTCCCTGCCTTCTACCAGTAAGAGAGGAAGGCCTACCAGCACGTCTACTCTTATTCCTCAGGGACAGGTGAGTCAGAGCAATAGCAAAGTGGCTGTCGCAAACTTCACAGTCTTGCATCAACAGAAGTGTCCATGGAGTGGAAAGTGGACAGTCTCAATGAACCGTTTACTTCAACATGGATAAGGCAAACTCAGTGTAAATACGGTTTATAAGAGCCATACTCAAGGTGGTGAGCTATAAACTAGTCTAGATCAAGCGGGGTTGTTATATGAGAGATTGTGATTAGTAAATTACCAAGTTTCCAAAAGGAACTGTTTTGAAGGAAATAAAAGATGAGGGTAGAAGTCAAGAGCAGAGATGACCACAAACAGGTCAGAAAGTAGAGTTTAAGATGTATTTAGATGAGAAGGCTCAAGTGCAGATCATACACAAAGCAGGGGTTGCAGAACCTCTCTTGTATTAGATACAAAATAGGCAGTGTGGGGAGTCAACTGACTGGCTTAAGAGCACAGAGCTCGGATCTAAGCCTATTAAAGCTTCTGGCCCACCCCATCAGGTTCTCAGATTCCCAAATTAAAGAAAGTAAACAAGACACATTAAAACATAAAAATATACATCTTTCTGGTGTTTCAAATATCTATTTTAGGTAGTAAAGGCTTTTATTGTTCTGAACCCTGATTACAAGTCACATGATCAAGAACAACTGAAAAAGGAGATTCAGGAGCATGTAAAAAAGACTACAGCACCTTACAAATATCCCAGGAAGGTAAGTATTATTGAATAGTTTCTAACAGAACTGTTATATAATTGACTTTGTCTAAAGATAAAAACTTCTGGATTAATTTTCTTCCCTTGATATCAACAGGTAGAATTTATTCAAGAGCTGCCAAAGACTGTCAGTGGGAAGATAAAAAGAAAGGAACTGAAGAAGACAGAATGGGAAACAATTTAAATTCATTCCTTTAATTATCATGGTTATCTGTAAAACAAGACTCTGTAAAACCACAACATTATAAAGAGGTGATAAAAAATGTGATACTATGCTTATAAACTGATTTAAAATAGCTTGTGGTTATAACATCAGAGGCTGAATTTTGAAATAAATATTCAGTAAATCCCTCTGCATAAGCGTCAATATTCTTAATAATTTGGTAACATTAAAAAGAGTACCATCAATTGCTGAGGAATTTTTAAATTTACAGTATAGAAGCAGGCTTTGAACCAAATCTCTGATCTGTTGGATTTCAAATCTTAGTTGAATAATTCTTCTGATATGCTGATATACAAATCAGAACCAATTTTCAAGCATTGAAATAAGGCTTACACAAGTCATCAAAGTTTTTAGAAAAATTCAAAATATCAGAAGATTGTCATAATTCTCAAAATACAAGTATTTACCTGAAAACAGGCTAGGGATTTTTATTAGTCACATTTTTCTTCAATTTAAAAATAATTTAAAATATGTTTCAAGGTCTAACTGTAACAGGAGGAGGATATCATGTTGTACACCAGAAACTAAAATTTTTTATCAGTTATAATTCAATAAAGGAAATAAGGGTATCCAATACTAGCATTGTTACTTAATATTTAATCTAATAAATCCAGTTTACCAAGTGTTTCGTTTGTGGTTCTTCATTTGTGGTTATCAAAAAGTATGATAAATTTGGCAAGTATTAACATATGAAATATAAAATAGTTCAAGGCATTATCAGAATACTCATAATGTTTGGGAATTTAAGGTACAACCAGGATTCATACATAAACAGAAAACAAATGTTAGATAATTGGTGAATGAAATTAGAAGCCAGTGAAAATTTTTTTCTTCTATTTTCAGTGTGTGTGTGTGTGTGTGTGTGAAAATGTGCTGAATAGCCCCAGTATAGCTTACAGAGCTCAGATACACTAAGTCCTCACAACTTGAAGCCCTATGCACATTTTTTTCTTTACTGCACTAAAAGTCACATTAAAGTAAAAACATTAGATTTAAAAAAAATTCAATTCCTCATTGAAGGTCTGAGTCTCAATGAATTTTTAGTAGAAAAATTTACATTTCTGTCACAAATATGGCTTGTTTCTGGAGAACTAAAAGTGAGTCTCCCTGGGGAATAAGACAGAACTATGCTGTTGCCTCTTTCCTTTTGAAGTGTTTGTTCCCATTTGAAATAACCACAACATTTTCTGTTTTCTTGGTATTTCCCAATAGGACAACAATAGAAAACTTTTCCATGGTTCGGTCCGTTATTCGAAACAACAAGTCTCTTAGATCTTCGGCCACACTTGCATAAAGGAGGTGTTATTTTCCCAGTCTTCCAAGGCTCCTGTAGGTTAACTCTAGAAGTTAAAACAGAGGGGAGAACCTTCCAGGAAGAACTGCTCATTGGAGAGCCATCAGATGATGCAGACTTTTCCTCATGAATAGTGAAGTTCTGTTTCTTTGCTGGTGGAAAAGGTAGGGGACTGGATGGATTCCTTTTAGTACCATCTAAAAGAAGATGTTTCCTCAGAACTAAAGGATGAGACATATTGGCATTAATACCATTGAAGCTACCTGCTTTATATTCAGGTAATTTAAAGTCAAAAACATCGGAACCTGGATCTTTGGCTTCTTTTATATTATAAATAGTAGTATGTGGACTCTTATACACAATAGACTTAGAGGTCTCAGATTTTTGAAGAGTTTCTTCTGTGCCTCCAAAGTTTTCATGATTTAACATTTCAGATTCTCCTAACCCCATTAACCTTTCTCCAGAATTAAATGAAATGTCTAAGTTTGAATCACTAATGGGAGGTATACAGCATAAATTCTGCTCAGGCTGAGATGCTGGCAGTAAAGCTACATCCTCCCAATCAGTCAGCATAGGTAAACAATCAAGAGCAGAACTCATTTCCGTATCACAAACATTATTAACAGATGAGATGGTCGTTGAAACAAGTACCAATTCTGAACCAACTGCTGAAGACTTAGAGTTGGTATTAAATGCAACATGTTGGTTTATTTGCTTCTGCATAGGTGTATTCAAGCTGGAAGACTGCAACTGCCCCAGAGAAGTCCAGGATTTAGTATTAAAAACAGATAAACAGCTTTTGCCATTGTGAAGACCTGCTTTTACATTGTCCTTTAGTTGTAACTGATCTTGCTGTACCTTTATAGGAGAATTCACACCAGCTGGCCTCATTTGAAGTTTCTGGTGAGATTTTATTGTATTTTCAGGCTCCCTATCATATATGCTGGGATCATGAACACTACTCATGCAGGCTGATGTTTCTTCAACTCGATCCGTATTCAAACTTCTGGCCAAAATGCTGGGATTCCTCTTAGTGGGAACCTGTGGTTCCACAGACAAATTCAACAGCTTTAGAAACTGCATTCATCATTTCTTTAGTATATATTATAGGATATGACCAAAAAAACCCCGTCATCATTGATTGATTTATAAATGACAGCATACATGACATTTACATTTCAATAAGCCTCCAATTACTTCCAGAGTTTGAAATGACAAGACACCACTAACCTTGTTCAAGGACCTTGTAATTTTCATTAAGCAACCATCCCTGATCATTTTCCAAGCAAGAAGGGCAGTATTCCGAGAATCATCCAACCCTGAGGAGACAGATGTCAAACACTGAATTTAGTGGCATCAGTGTAAAGAAAGAGCAAAAAAAAAAATCACCACTTAAATAGAAATTAGAATATTGTTGGTTTTATGATCATTTACTAATTTTAATCATGATATATTGGTCTTGTGGAAAGCTGTGGCAGCCTTACCAATGAAAGACAGATTTCCCACATTTACAGAGGTGGTAAAATTTTGTCAGACAGTTCAACATGCTTGTAGGGACCATGTTTTATGAGTAATCTAATAGTCTTGTTCAGCTTTTTCAATAGTCCACTGTATTACCTGGGCATTTGTTTAATCTCCGATTGATCTGGCAAATTCTTTTCATTCTTTTTAGCAACTAGAAAGCCACTAGATGGCAGACTTAATCTTACAATATTTTATAAAAGGTAATTTGAAATTCTGGGAAACAAATTTGAATTTTATAGATTAGGGCCTTTTTCAGGATATTCCTTGTTAATGACATCACAAAAAAATGAGAGTCAAATGAAAGACTGCATAAAAATAAAATGACTTACATAATAAAATTATTTTCAATTTATACTAACCAAAATGTTCTCGTCCCAAGAATTGTATTCCCACTTCCTCCAGGGCACCACTTAGTCCTTTTGGTTTTCTCTTATAGAAAATCTAGTCAAGTAAAAAACAACATATCTAAAAAAATGATTACTACTTGAAAGGCTAAGTATTAAATTTTTCATAATTTTCAGCTCTATTAGATTTGAAACGTACTGACTTTTGTGTTGTTTTTATATATTTTAAACATTTCAAAACAAATATTTTATTTGTAATAACCCAAACCTATGTGTAGGATAAAGTTTAATCATTTTTCAATAGAAGGAAAGTGAACATGCCCCCCATCTTTGACCTTTACCTTGTAAGTTACTCTGAGATCAATCCAGGAATTAAGGAACACAGGTTTTATTAGCTGTTTTCTTTTACACTCATACTCCAGGCAAACCCCCAAGTCCCAGTCTGCATTAAGTATATTAAAATAGAACACAGTCAATGATGCCAGCAGTTTTTACTTATGCTATCATCATTTAAAAATAAAATGCTGAAAGATATACAACAGAATAGTAGGACTTAGAATAATATATAACAGTATATATTATAATATACTATGTTGTATATATTACATATACTACATATGGTAAATATTATATACTATATACTAGAATAGTAAGATTTAATTGCCCTGCTTAATATCTAATAATTCTTCACTTTACAGGGGTGGGAGGGTTATAAGTTATAAAAGGAGTTAACAATAAGTTGGCTAATCGGTTACCAGGGAAACCAGTAGAGCAAGCCCTTCACACACCTTTGATAAGCTATCATGGTGGAGATGTACTGATATAAAGATTAGAACAATCACTAGCTTAGGCCAGGGGCAAGTATGTATTAAGAGGGCCATGTGAGCAGGGTGTAGGTGAAGCAGGGACTGGCTGAGCAGGGGATGTACAGAGAGAAAGAGAACAGCCATCGTGAGTGGCTTGATCACACAGGCTAGAAACCAAATATTGCTACCAATGACTATTAACAGCAATGCTCTGTCACAGGCATATAAAATATCTACCTTAAATGGTCCATTTTTTAAAAATGTTTACATTTTAAGTGTAAAAGTATAAAAGCAAAACATGTGAGTTGATTGAGGACTCTTTTTTTCCAAAATTGTAGAAAATAGCATGATAAGAGTTTTCATTAAATTCTCTTTGCTCGGATTCAGAAGAACAGAGAGGAGCAATACAGACAGATTCTTAAAGTTAGGGGTTAAATTTTTAAGGCATTTAAAAATTTTTAAGTACACATAAATTTACTTTTCTCGATCAGTATCTGCTAGGCACTTAGATTTCTTTTTGTGACCCAGGAAATTAACAAGTATAATTCTTACTAGAGATAAAGAACTACATAGTGGTAATGTTACTCATTTATGATTGATAGATAATAACTTATTTTTTTACCTGACCAAGTAACAAATGCACATAAGTTTACTTCAGAAGTAGAAATATCTGAAATCCCAGTAGCAAAAATAATTTTCTTCTCTTGTTGAATCTTCTGAATCCATTTACAGAACTGAGATAAGCAAATCTTCAGAGGGACTCCTTCATCAACTTGATCCTGGACAGAGTTACAAAATCTGAATTCAACAACTGAATTCCATAATTACAGAGCCCTTTAACTAGGCATGGGGGAGTGGTGAGCGATATAAACAAAGAAGAGGTTCTAACTAGCGAAGAGTTTACCTAGTGAAAAGACGTTAAAACATATAGGAGAGAGATAATGATTAGAATTCTGCGAAGTAAGAAAATTAGGTTGATCAATCTAAAATCATCCAGAAATACAACAAATAAACCCCGATCGACAGAAATTTGATGTCACTTAATTTCCATAAAATAAATTTGATATTCATTTTTATACTACTCTTCCTAATTTTTGAAAGATTCCAGTGGACTTCTGGAGGGGTCTCCATTTTTCCTAACGATGAGTAAATCTAATTCTAAATGACGGGTAGCTTTTCTTTTTGACAACTGACTTCTAAAATTTAATATCTGCATCTTACCTGCTAGTTTGTTGGGGTGAGAGGGATGAGAAGTGGGGGGAAAAGGGCATACCTGCTTTATGCCTGTTAGTTCCATGCAAAATTCAGAAAGAATTGGATATTCCTGAGGCTGCACATAAGCATGAAACTCAGATTCAATCTCTCCAGTTGATGTGTTCAGCAATACAGCTGGAAATTCAACTACATGAAAGAATCATCAATTGACACTTTAATATGTAATTGTTAAATTAATGCTTCAATTAGTTTAAATTAAACATATATTACCATCATGTAGCATTACTGAACAATTGTTACTTCAGTAAAAGCATATTAAAATGACCAATGCAGTGTGATGTAATGGGTATAATAAAGTTATGCCAAAGAATAAGTCAAACTATTAAAGTTATGAGTATATCTACTTAAAACTCTTGAATATATTTCCACAATTAAATATGAAGACCATATGGAAATTGAAACATATTTCTTCTTGCAAAGGTATTTTTGTCAGTTTCTATGCAATTGAAATTTTATATGTAATCCTAAGACAATTATTTTATATGATAATAAATTTAGGTGTTAGATTTTTGTTCTTTTTTTGTCAAGTCAGATTTTATAGTAAATTACTAATTTATAGATCATTTTGTTTTCTTAAACGGTTAGCTGTTATGTATCTATAAACTTTAAAATGACTCATCTAGTGCTATCTTTGACCATTGGTGGTCCAAACTTACTTATTTCCTGGCTCCGGTGGCGTATCCCATCATTCCAACATGTTGATTCAAAATCAATGACAATTAAGTAGTCAAACAACTGCTCTGTAAAGGATCAGAGTATCCTTATGCTTTACCAGTGTTAGAAGTGCAATGCTACAAAATATAAAGAAATTAAGCACACGACTTACTAGATTTGCTTCGTCCTAGATTTCCATTTGCTGGTGCAGTTGACTTTCTCCTGATTAATCCAAGCTGCCTAAAAATGTAAAACAATCCAGTACGTTCAACAAACTCATCATACTCCTTTTTTATATAAGCTAACAAACTAATGGTATAACCCTCATTATTAATATAGTCATGTATTGTGATTCACAGGAAACTGAGCTAGACTTTGAGGGTAAAAGATTAGTTCTTTGTACTAACTTCCAAACTCTTGATTTTAGTAGTCATTCCACCTGCACAGGCCTCTAAGTGCATATTTGCAAACTTAGGTCAATTCTTTCTGCTCTCCTTATTTTACAGTAACACTGAGGAATTCAAGTGATTGTTAAGGATGCCTGGAAAAGCTCGTTATTTATTTTTTATTTTTTAAATTTTTATTTGTTTTTTTGAAGTGGGGAGGTAATTAGGTTTATTTAGTGACTTACTTACTATTATTATTTTCAATGGAGGTACTGGGGATTGAACCCAGGACCTTGTGCATTCTAAGCACGCGCTCTACCACTGACGTATACCCTTTCCCCTCAAGGAATTTTTGCTTTTGCACTTTTCATGCCCTTGCTATGTGTACAGCACAGCTGTGAGAAGTCAGTGCAGGTCCAGCCTTCCAGGAGCTTAAAGTATCTGGGTAAAGAAACTACTGTAAAGTAATATATGATAAAGGATTCTTAAAGATAATATGCTAAGTCCACAGACAGGGATGAGCTTGCTACCTGAAAACTGGGTTTGCCTCTTGGTGGATGTTGAGCCAAAAGACACAACCAAGACAAAGGGCAGGAGAAGGAAGGATTTATTATTTGCAACAAGTAAGGAGAACATCGCGGATCTTCCCCAAAGCATGTCTCCCTGCACAGAAAAACTGGGAATGTTTTAAGCCAACGGTATATGCGTATTCATGAAGGGGCTTGGGTGGCTGAGATAGATTGCAAGCTTTAGCTGATTGAAGTCAAGAGGATCAGAAAAAATCAACAGCATCATCCTTTGGGTTCCAGTCAACCTGGTGGTCGTGCACTGCAGGCTTATCTTAACCCCTGAAACTCCCTGAAGATCTTTACTCACTGAGATCTGATAAAGGACAAGCATTTTGGACAGGCTTAGATCACAAAATGGCCTAGGCCAAAAACAGCTTCCCTTATGTCAAGAAAATCATGCCTGGTTCTTTCTCCAGGGAACCCCTACCCTATCTGCTTACAAGCTTACTGAGGTCTTAAGTGCCGTGAGACAAACTACGTCACTGAATAAGTAGAGTTTAACTAAGCAGACACCTCCCTTTCTAATTTTTTGTTGCAAGTGTGGTGGGGAGTTGGGAATAACAGCTGACATGTATTGATTGCTTACCACAGAGTAGACACTGAACTAAGATGGTGATTTCACTTCATCCTCAACAACTGCACAAGGTAGTTACTTTTGCTACTCTGAATGAAAAATGTTGCCTCCCATATCAGCATACAAAGGATGCTCAGGCCAGCAAGCCATCAGCCACCTACCTAACAATGCCAAAGGTGAGTCCTGGGGGAATTCAGGTTGGAGACAAACTGCCCTTGGGGGTGGCTGCCTGATGCCAAGTCCTCAGCCACTGCAGCCACCCCCAACCACATAACCTGAGGGAACTCGGATGGGAAGAACAGGATACTGGCCCTAGATAAATAGCTACGGTGCATATCAAAGGTATGGCTTCAAGGAGCCCAGAATGTTGCATCTTCTTGTAAGTACTAAATTCATTAACTTGAGATACCTGGTTTCCTTTAATT